AAATTGTTATGTACTTTAAGGTTATATATGCATGATCTCTATTAATGGCATTTTCTGGGCTCTCACATCAGTCAGAAATCTAGGCATCTTCCTTGCCATGTGTCTGCCTCTGGCCTCCAACGCGACTCTATCACAGTGGACACCTCAGATAGATTTTACCCGCTAAGTCATACTGACTTTCTGCGTTTCTCCATCTTCGCTGCCATCATCCAGGTCCAAGTAAACCCCTCCCTTCCATAGGCCATGCACACAATCCTGACTGGTCTCCTGTCCCCAGTGGAATCCACTCTTCACCTGTAGAATGAGCCATTAAAGATGCCAGTCTGGTGTGTCACACCGCTGATGCTCTCTGACTGCTCCAGGACACACACCAGGCTGCTCTGCCGGGGCCCTGATGCTGTGTGGCTGAGTGGCTGCCTCTTTCCTCTTCCCTGGGCTTAGCCTTCCGTGCCATCGCCACGCTCTGGGCATGCGGTTGCTCTCAGCTGGTGCTCCTTGCCCAGGAAGCTCTCCCTAAGCCCCGCTGTTTGCTGCCTGTTGCCCAGTTCTGCATCTTCCATCCTTATAGCCATCATCTCAGGAATCTCCACTGCTGCCTCAGACCACGTCTGATTGTCACCGCTTTCCCAGCACCTGTTTACAATTTGTTCACTGCTTGCCCCCCCACACACACACAGTCAAACAGTATTTAAATTCCGTAAGGACAGACCCTTAACTTCCTCAATGCTTTCTACCCAGGATTAAATATGTGTTAAGTGAATAAGTCACACTTAGCACTACATTAAGTCCCTCCCTTAGGAATTTCCGGAGAACAATGCTTAGTCAGATTAGATTCACCGGTAAGTGCAATGAAGTGAATCTTACACACCTTTATCACAAATATACAATAGAGGACTGGTGAGATGGCTCAGTGGTCTAAAGCACCTACTTAGGACAAGCTAAGCTAAGCAAAACACAGGAACCGCGGTTCAATCCCCAGCACCACATGCCAGCCAGGCCCGCCCCCTGGTGGGCTGAGCTGGCCACACACACACTAAATAAACAAATAAATAAATAAATATTAAAAAAAAACAAATATACAATAGAAAGCATAAAGGCAAACACAAAAATACGCTAAGTCCCTGACAGTACAATCATTCTCACTGTACAATAAGCACAGAGCCACACAGCTATGACAACACTGAGCGCACACGTGAGCTACGTCCACAATTTGTTCCCATCTATGAATGCTCAGAATTCGAGGTCTGTTCCTATCTGTGAAAGTTTGCAACCCGAAGGTTCCTGAGTCGGGGACTTACTGGACTGGTCACCTGCCATCTGGATTGTTACTGGATTCCTGTTGCTTTTTTGCATTAGACTAGGGTACAGCCTTATCTTCTCAGCTTGCTACTGTTTCTCAGTATCTGAACCATAGGAGGCCTTCCACAAATGTATACTGAGGGCCCGGGAGATGGCTCAGTGGAATAAGCACTTCCCTGACAAGCGCAAGGGTCTGAGTTCAATCCCTGCTTCCACCAAAAAAAAAAAAAAAAAAGGGTGATAGTGTTTTGGGGGCCAGGGAGATAGCTCAGTAGAATAAGCGCTTGTCTGGCAAGCACAAGGTCCTGAGTTCAATCTCCATTACCAAAAAAAAAACCAGAAAACAAATGTATACTGAGTAAATTTTATCATAACCACATAAAGACTACATAGGAAAAATTACAATGAAAAGGCAGCGGTGGTTGTGTTAGAACTGCAAAAGTAAGACTTTTTGTCTAACAATATATAATAGTAAAATGACAATACAAATATTTCACAGTTAAAAAGAAACAGCTCTGAAGGTTGTACCAACAGGATAAACATAACAAAAAGCTAAATATAAAAATGATTCTTTTAGGGATGGGGAGATAGCTTGGCAGTGTAAGCACCTGCCTGGCGAGAGCAAGGACCCGGGTTAGATCCCGGTACCGCGTGCTGTGCTGCCGTGCCCCACCAAAACTGGCCGCGGTCGTGCACACCTGTGATCACAGCTCTAGGGAAGGCGAGACAGGAGGATCACTCTGCGTCCAAGCTGCATGGCAAGACACTGTCCCCAAAAAATAAATAAAATATTTAAAGCGCCTGCTTAGGTGAGCACAGAGGCCGGGGCTGGATCCTCAGTGGCCGTGCCGGCCCCGCCCCCACCGCACGCTGAGACCGCCTTGAGACTCGGTGTGGTGGCGCTTGGGAGGCTGAAAACAGGAGAATCACGGCAAGATCTGTGAAGAGAGACCCTGTAGACGCTGTACCAAACACATTTTTAAAAAATGATTGTTCTACTCTAAAAGATCATATATTTTCATTATTTCTAGTATAGCCCCATGGTTATATCATTTTACATAGCTGTAGTCAGATAAAATCCAGTATTGTTTTCCCTATTTGATGTTTTACCGTGCATATTTTCCCCAGGATTTTGCATATTTTCTGTATGACTGTGCTTAGCAACTATGTGATGCTGCCCTTTTAAATTTGTGTGCTTGGGGACCATCTATTGCTGTGAGACATTTCCTGGAACAGAATTCCAAGTCTATAATCATTCACCGGGAAAAGCAGATTTCTGAGTTTACTAGCCACAAGATGACAAAGGTGCAGATAATAATGGATACGTGTGCCAGCGCAGAGCGCGTGCTGGAGGGAGAGTCGGTGAACTGTGATTATTTTTAATAGAGACTCCATTTACATTCAGCCTGTAAGGAAAAAACCTAAAGTTTGTATGTAGTGAGTGTTCCCGGCTTAGGTAACTCAACTGTTTTCTGAAAGAAGATGAATACCTGAGTAGCTGCGGAGAGTGGGCTGACTTTCTGGGGCGTTAACAGTGAGGGAGGTTTCCCGGAAAGTAGAGGTCCTGCGCCTATGTGGGACATCAGTGAGGGAGGAGATGCTGGTTCCCACTTACGAGCAGCCCTGTTCATGGCACGACGTGTGAACTTGGGTAAATCAAACATATAGAAGTGTCCCTCTGTCCTTAATCCTAAAATCACTCCGTAACAGTGGACATTTGAGAGTCATTTTTATTCTCTAAATTGCTCTGAATGTTTTCTACTTTTTTTAGGTTCACCACCGTCTTGGAATAAGCAAAGTCCTCTTTCTTCTAGACCTTAAAAAAAGAAATCCTCACTGGTCTCCAGTCTACCCCCCTAGACACCCTGTTATTTGTGAGAACTGCCTCTACTTGAAGTATCAAGGACACAGGACTCTGGTTCCCCTCCATTTGGTCAGTTAGAAGCAGATCCAGCCGGTCTGTCAGCCTACTCTGTCAGGGAGGGAGCAAAATAGGAGTGGCCCTGCGTCAGAGGGCGGCCCTGTGTCAGAGGGCGGCCACGGCAAAGGAGAAGGCACCCGTGCAGGTTCTGTAGGCCGAACATGATTGCTGCCTAATGCTTTTTGGCATACATGTCTGGGCAGGGTGACCTCTGGCTTCCTTCTTGAATATTTTCATAAAAACAGCAGTATCATAGCCCAGGGCAGGAACCTTAGTTATTGCCATTAACTCCAGAATGGCCACATTTCCAGCTGTTTGCTTTCCAGCTTCTTCAAAATGACAAAGACCCTAACAGTTGGGCTTTACAGCAGCTCCTCAATAAAGGATTATAGCTGCTACATAAATCAGAACTTTGCAAGCTTAATAATGTTTTCATCAGTGCTATAAGCAAGCAACCAGAGACTGGGCGTGGTGGCACGCACCTGTAATCCCAACACTTGGGAGGCTATAAACAGGAGGATCACTACGAGTCCAATCTATGCAGTGAGACCCTGAAGACCCTGCAGACCCTATCCTAAATACAAAA